AGAGTAAATACAGAGTGCGGCAAAAAACCGATCCATTTTCTGCAGCGCACTGTTCAGCGACAGGTCGTCTGAGGGTGGTGGGATTAGGCTCGTTGGAAAGCCTGCCTAACGATGCCATTTCTCCATCATAGAGCAGTGGTCGTATGAACTACGTGTGGTTGTTATTGAGTCGTTTAAAAAAAGTTATGATTTAGTCATTGCAACTTAGCGGCAGTTTCGTGCTTTTATTCAGTTAGGTGGACATAGAGAGGTCCCGTTGTGATTATCTGTATGGATGATTGCCAAATTATACAGACTATTATTCTAATCCATAGGGATGAAAATTAACCGCAAAATTCGTATAACTGAGCGGTCAGACATGTTCAAGGCAGCCGCTTGTTTTCGGGCTGGCCTACGAGGACTGTTTTCCACAGCAGCACGAACTCTATCGAATGTTTGTTGTCTGGCGTCCGATCTGACTTTGGAAGGCCTGTCAGCTTCCTTTTCAACGCAGAAGCCGTTGTTCTAATGTAAGTAACCCGCATTATTGTGCTACGGAACGGAACTTCTCCATGTCGCCTTAATTGAAAGAATGCATGCAACTGCCGCTGAGTAGTAAGAATGAATTCACTATTTTATAAAAACGATTCCATAACAACCGCACTAGCTCAGGCGATCACTGCTCTATGACTACAAAAAATGGCATTGTGTAGGCTTTCCAACGAGCCTACTCCCACCACTCTCGGACGACCTGTCTCTGAACAGTGCACTGCAGAAAATAGATCGGTTTTTTGCCACACCCTGTACTATTTAAGCAGCTACTGTCATGACAGAAAGGTCATATTCCTTTTAAACTAGATCACATAATCCTTTTTAAGATACGTTGATTAACAATGCATGTGAACGTCGATATTTACGTAACAGCCAATTTACAGTATTTTTCGCTCTTTGGAAATGTCACATTGCTATGTTATTTGCATTATTTGTTGCCAATGAAGCCGCACGATCATATAAACGAGGAGTCCCTAACAGTTTAAGAATAAAAGCCAACTTCACTTCAAGTATATTCCACTACACCTAACATTTCGTAGAAAGATTATATTGACAACTTTATGTAATTGAAAAGGCTGAGACAACTAACTGTTATCCCCCATGTAAAGGAATTCCAGCTTTAACAGTAACCCCACAACCAATTTCTCAAAACTATAATAGAGGGTTATTCATTGAACTGAAGTACTATAAGAACTGACGCGATGTGACGAAGGAAAAATCAAACTTACACTGAAACGGAAATAACTTCCTTTGAAGTTAGAAGGTGTCTCCTTAACAAACATATATTTTTTCTCATAGAGTAATCTGCATGACACTGATGAAATCGCAGAAGGGTTTAACTACAAAAGATCCACCAATACGATTTTAATACTATTTAAAGATTCTTCCAAAAGAAGAAATACCAGTTAACATACCCAATAGTTAATAACTCCAATGACGTAGGTATAGGAAATATTTTATTCATTGAATGATCAACCATATTTGGTAACTATATCAATTAATATCATTATTGTTTTTACACTTATTACTCTTTAAACAATGTTATTCACGCAATTTATCGCAGTTTGCATAAACCTTGGAAGTTCGACGGGTTTCACCTAGTTTGATTATATTATTCGATTCATACCGTTTCTGTTCTAATATCCGTGGAATAATGCTATCAGCTATTTCTTGATCTACTTCATGGAAAAGTCACCAGCTGATCTTATGCCTTTGTTTATGTGTCAAATACTGCTTCCATAAGCATTACATTGAATCTTTGAGGGCCCGTGGGGTGGATTCCTAAGAGATTGGTTTGACGCCATATGGATTTGATATAGATGCAAAATTTGAAAACGATTGCTTCAACCATCTAGGAGGAGTTTGCGTATTACGAAATGCATAAGAGTCGTCGTATAAGAGCTTCGCTCGCTCCGCTCGATTACAATTTAAATATTAAAAGCTGTTTCACTAAAAATTAGAAAAAAATTATCCATATGACGATAATGTAAACTAATCTGGGTAGGGAACTTTAAAGGCTTCTGAGGTAGAGCCCTTAGGGAATTTACTTAGTTTTTCTTTTGATGGCTCATCTACAGACTGAGACCTCTCTTTTGGCACCTCTACCATGTTTCTACGCCCAGCCGTTCTCTCAAATTAGTGAAGACAAAGTTTCCAATTAAATATTTAGATTCCCCCATGTTAATCTTATGGGAGAACCCCCAACTTTGATGGAAGATTCTGCCCAAACAAATAAAGATAAAAAAAAGAAAAACACTTTGCAAACTACAGATCAGGGTATTTTTTTTACACTTTAATCATCAAAATCGGTCCAAAAATGAGGGAGGAGTTCTGTTTACAAAAATTGGCTTAGCGTATTATATATATATAGATAGATAATAAACCTGTCACGTAGTCATACAGAATATTATATGTCTATTTAATTTTTAAACCAGCTGTGTGGAATCTATATCTATATACTTATTTAATACGCAAGCAGGATTTTTGTGACAATTACTCCTCCGAAACTAATGAACCGATTGACATGTTTTTGGTGTCAATGGAAAGAGCGTAACATGAAGTTGTGCAGGAAACTTTCTTTTTAGGTAAATAATTAGAGAGTGAGGCCCTGGGGCCCTTTAAAGTTTTGTATTTCTCCATAAGATTAACATGGGAAACAAACATTGTTTTGAAACTCCAGCTGTTGTTAGTAATTGAATATTAATAATTGGTCTCCATGGAAGCATTCACAATGTTTACATTTGCTTTGATATTCAAATGTAAACAACCAGAACTGTCAAATGCCTATTTCACAATTTCAGACAGCTGAAAAAAAACAACTATGTGGTAGGTTTATTCAATCCTAAACTTTATGATAGATTATTATTTATTATAAATCTATTTCAATGGTTATGACACAGATATTTCCCATTGCGAAGCAAAAATTAAAAGTGAGCAGAAGAACATATTTTAATTGTAAACAGTCAATGTGTAAATTATCCATGTTGTATTAAAAATGTGTATAGTTTTGGAAGTTGGTTTGCGTTTAATGGTATAAGTTATTAATTATTGAATGTTTATTTTAAGGATTCATGGCATATGAGTAGGCCTATGCCTATGATAAATAACACCATTTCAGAGTTCTGCCAGTTTTTGCCTAGCTCTGTTCTGTAGAGTTTAAAGCCTACACCTTATTGTCTACCAATTGGCTAAATAACTTAGGTACGGTATATTATAAAAACTGACAGCCTTTTTATGTTGACTTAAATTGTAAGCTTACCTTTTCCCGTCCATGTGCAGTTTGATAGTTAAAAATTAACCCCTTAAACTGGAATAGGACTGTTATGTAAATAGTGAGTATTTCCATTAGTTAATAATCTTTTAGTCGACTCTTTCAAAATCATCGGAAATTATGACTGTTATTAGTTTTTTAAACAAGTCATTTGTTAATAAATAACTCCTATACTTCTTAGCAATTGCTCGATTTCGAGCAACATGTACACTAGTTGTGAATTAATGTGCTTCGGCAGTTCTGCTTGCTTACATTTTGGTGGCATAGCAAATTGTAAACATTCTGAGTGTTCTCATGGCAGCCATGCAGACCAAACAATATTTACTTTTAAAATCCTCACCTCAGAACTTTTAAAGCCAAAGGGGCAAGCAAAGCCCACGGTCAATATCGAAGTGTGAATAGTCCTATTACCATCCTTGGTATAGTAGTGATTTTTTTAAATTTAAGCCCAGTCAGTTCAGTAGTTTTTACATAATTTAGTAACGTGTTTTATTACAGACAGTCACCATTAGATTGAATTGACACCATTACTTTCACAGTATAGATGTGAAAGTTTGTGTGTTTAAAGTTCAATCACGCATTAACTACTGGTCGGATTGGGCTGAAATTTGGCATGATCATAGCTTACATTCCTGATTAACATATAAGCTTATTCTTATCTCCAAAATCCTTTCGGGCTCCACCCCAGTGGCCCTGCGATCTCCCTTGTTAACCTTATGAGTATTCATATTTAAAAAGAAGAATCTTAACAGCTGTTTCAAATAATTATGTTGCTCCAATGATGTTCAATAGCATTTGACAAGTTACTAGGCTTACTAACAGGGTGCAGCACCATTATTTTGTTTGATTTGAATTTAAGTCAAGCGCTAATTTGAACTATAAGCAACAACAAAAAGCTTTAACGCACATTGAGTTATGTTTACGTTTTGCATTTCATAAATCAATTTCGTGTTTGGGCAAATAGGGTGTTTTTAATTTTTAAGTGCATTATTCATAAACTTAATGAATTTTTTATTTTCAAATGTTTATAAAATGCATTTTGTTTGTATGTTTGTTTTCACCCAAAATAATGTCTAAGAAACGGAGTAGCATGTTAATATTTGTAGTGCATTACTGTTCAAGTCAATGATTTTGATGGAAGACTAACATTGTATTAGTGGAAGTTTGGAGCAAGTCACATGGTCAATGTCAACCAAGTGTAAAATACTTTACAAATTGAGATATTCTTTCCCATGAATAGAGGCAATACAGCAGGTCTGCACGTGGTAATTGTTTATCTTAATACTCTCCTATGGTTCTGCCTTGACAGCTTCCAAAGGTGCTATGCTATTCCTATGAATACAGTTAATATTAGAATTGCCAAATTGATACAAATAAGATGCTTGAAAATGATTTTGTTAGTATTTTATAAAAACTGTGGGCATTATTCATTAGTTGTTAATTTATTATACAGTATATCTATAGATCATAATTATTCTCATAAGCGGTCTCTTCCCGTTGCAAAGCCCGGGTATGTTGCTTAGTATTTATATAAGTTTGATCAGTACTAATCGAAGCTGTAGGCTTCTGATGTTCACACACTCAATACATGCAAACAACCTAGAGCGCACCTATATAAAACTAGAAGGCAACTCTATACGTTTATTAAAAAGATTATAATTTGCATAATTTTTAATCTAAAGGTAAAGATTTCTATCAGGTACATTGAAATCAGGACCCAAACCAAGCTGGTACAACCCTAGAAGGTATAGCTATGCATCAATCTATAAAATTGACGAAGGGAAACAATCAAAACGAATTACTTCTGGAGAGGATATGATGGACGGCTTTGAGTGGAGTTTGAATAACAAAAAGTTCTATTTTATGGATTCTTGGAGTCGTAAGATGTATGCGTATCAGTACGATAGCGGAAGAAAAAAGCTAAGTTCCGGTATGTAAATCACTTACTTGTTACTTTTACATACTTGTACTTTTTACTTGGTGTGAAAAATATAGTTTCCATCATACTGTCCGGAAAGCAGACGTTTTTAGTTCTCTAAATCGTACGCAAAAATATCGTTTTTGGGTAGCATCAAAAGGTGAAAAAACATAATAATGTAAATTTTTAGTTTGTCAACCTCAAAATTTAATAGTGCATTATGAAAACACTGCTAAGTACACGATATTTAAAGCTATTTTTGTAAACATCAGAAATTTAAACATTGATGACGACTTTGTACTGTATAACCTCAAATAGCGTGGTCTAATTTTGTAACGGTTAGAAGGTTATTTCCACAGTATGATGAAAATAGTCGTTCATCACATGGAGCAAGAGTGTTTTTGTTTTTGTTTTTTACTCAATCGTATTTCCAAGCTCGGGACGATTGCGTACCTAAAGAGCCACTTTCGCTCCTAGCGATGTAAACTACTATTGTTAATTGCATATAGCTTACAATGTACTAAAACACAAATATTTTCTCACAGCTAAGATACATTATATTCGACCTATTTTAACTCAATTTTCAAAGAATAAAACAATTGATCTTCCCTCGAGGTCGCAGCCATCCGTCAGCCACCAGATCTGTAAAACTGCATTATATCTTATGGAGCCCTTCACGCTGAGGTCACAGCCATCCGTCAACCACCAGATCTGTAAAACTGCATTATGTCTTATGGAGCCCTTCACGCTGAGGTCACAGCCATCCGTCAACCACCAGATCTGTAAAACTGCATTGGGTCTTATGGAGCCCTTCACGCTGAGGTCACAGCCATCCGTCAACCACCAGATCTGTAAAACTGCATTGGGTCTTATGGAACCCTTCACGCTGAGGTCACAGCCACTGAGTGGCAGCAACGCTTGTCCTTTCACCCGAATATCTGTTAATCGCCACCACTGACAATCGCTACCAACTCAAATTTTGCGACAATCGCTACCAGTGGCCCTGAGTCACCACCCTCACCACTACGTGACGGCATACCTTAACATACTCCCCTCCCTTCACTAACCAAACCACCCTATTGGGAATGACCACTGAAGTAATACCTATAATTCATTCTGTGTAAACGGTTCATAAACGGTTCTGTGTTTACGGTACTATAGTTCATACTACTGTTGTTCGAAACAGAGGTCGACGCTGATTTTTTAATTACCTTTTTAGCTTATTTAGTTTGGTTGTAATGTAACTGAAATTGTACTGCCGCGCCGCACCATGCAGATTCTGCCTCCAATCTCACTTTTAATAAAGTTTAGATATTCAAGTCTGGAGTTGTACAGAAATGTTCCTAAACTACTTAGAAAAACACGGAGTACATTTAAATGTTCTTCGTTTTATTCTTTGTATTCATCTAAAAATTAATATTGTTAGCTCTTTTATAAAAATCAACATGACAGTCAGAATATAAAGGAACGTTGTTTTAAGAGTTTTAAAACGTACTTTTTTGACTTACTGTATATCTTTTTTTAATAACACACTAGTTATTATTAATGCAGAATATAATGCCACAAGACAATTTTAATGTTGACCAGTCCATTCCGTTGATGCATTGCAATGAGTTAATCACAAGCTTCTGATCTTTTTGATAGCATAGGCAGGCTAGTGTATAAGTTAAAAAAAAAACACGTATACTGACTAAAAACAAATAGGGTAAGAATCAATATCAAAAATACATCAATATACATTGTGACGTTAACATTTGAAATTGACTGTCCTTTGGACTTATCGCTAACTCTACTCTGGATCGGAACTAGCTAATTCTGGTACTATGAAGTAGCCGTGATCATGGTATGACACACCCTCCCCCCCTCATCACAACACCCACGAACCCTCTTTCCAAGAACGGGCCGGACTGGTAGCGATTGTCACTGGTAGCGAATGTCACTGGTGGCGATTTACAGGACACCCTTTCACCCACGGTGGCTGTCACCAAGTTGCTGAGACCTTCTCGCTAAAATGGTACTTTTTTTTCATGTCGTATAATTCATTCACCAAGGTGTAATCGAATGTTTTGCTTATTTCTTGTGAATTTTCCTTTCTTCTTCGGTTTACCAACAGATTCAGTAGGCCTACCTTCTAGGAAACGTACACTATTGTTTAAAAATGTATTGCCCTATCCATCCAAATCATCGTCAACAAACAACTCAATGTGAACATACAAAGCAATATAGATAACGTTATGGCTAAAAACAAACAACCGAGAGTCAGTGACACAAACAAAGTGAAACAACAAAAGTGGACATCAGGACAGACGGGTGTACAGGGAGCGCGCGTATCCCCGAGAGCTAGGTCGCAGCCACTCTAATGCAAGGATGGTCCCAGTGGTGGGGGGGGGGGGTCAGGGGGGTCGTGACCCCCCCCAAATATATTTTTTATAGATAAACTATTATACCAGGGGAACTTTAATAATGTTTACTGCAAATCGTTCTACCAAATTCATTGTAGTATTTACACTAGTGGTGAAGGAAAGGACTAATTATTACAAACTCTAACCTTAAACTCGGGATTGTTTGAGTCCGACTATTTTTTTACGATATGAAAAGAAGGGAAGATCGGCAGACGACGGACGCTTTCAGCCATATACGGCAACGGCAGTGTCCGATGCTGGCGTTCGACGTTCGGCCGCATTCTTCTTCTTATTGAATTTGTAGGCATTTGCTATCATTCATTTTAACCTGGATGACTGAAAACATGAATTGGGTATTGGATAATGAAAAGAAGTTGTATCAAAAGTCAAAGCTTTAAAGGCAGTTGAACATTAATTTGATCTGAGTTCAGTGTTAGGAATTTGCAATTACAGTAATGTAATTTAATGATTACCGTAGCAAATTTTAAAACTTTCAATACTAAATACTAATTTATATTTAAAGCACCTGATATCATATTTAAGAATACCACAACCCAGTTGGTATGTTGCCACGAAACAACAACAAAATGGTATGTCTCAGACTTAGATGCGGAAGGGACGGATAATTTCCATGCACAACTGCAAAAACGTTGCACAAAAACTTTATTCTCGCGTTGAGAACACTGAGAACCAATTCTTCAGGCGGTAGCAGTGACTAGCAGGATGGCAACGTTAGTTGGGTAGTGTACTTTGTGTAGGTTAACTGTTGCCATAGACTAGTATGTTTTATCTATGCTGTTGCTCACTGGGCAGGCATGATGCAGTAGCAGTCGTGTTGGGTGCAAGTTCCTAAACACTTCTTAATTAAAATAAGTTCTCTGGTTCAAAATCTTGGTCTGATTTTGGACATTTTCTGTTTAGCATGCACATCGGCACCAGTTGAAAGGGTATTTTCGTAAATCAATAATGATTGAATGTGTTTTAATGCTGCGGTATTCCTTCGTTATTAAAACCACAAGTCTCAACAATTCAAAAACAATACAAGTTAATTTTTAAAATTTCTTTGGCCTTTAAATAAACCGGGTAGCTTGAACACATTAAACTAGGTCCTCAAAATAGCTTAAAAACCACTCATTTTAGCACGGGGATATTCCATGCCCCCGGTGACCCCCCCAATTTGTGGATAGGACCGCTCTTGCCCTAATGTGAAGGGTATATCACAAGGCCCGGTAGGAATTGAGTCGATGAAAAATCACAGTGGCAGCCACTGACCAGCGACGCAGTTCTTCAGTGACCGGGTCGCTGCCACCCGATAGTGTGAAGGGCTCCATAAGACACATTGAAATTTTACAGATCTGGTGGCTGCGACCCAGATGGAAGGCAGCTTTTTTTTACTTTACTGACTTAGTATGCTATAGAGGATAAAGTATAAAATTGTACAATTTGTGCAATGTCCCACATCATAAACATGTGCAAATTTCACATTCAAACACTCGCTCTACATTACATTAGATTTATGTAACTATGAAGTACCTAATAGCCTAAATGAAACTATTGATTTTAAGATTTGTTGCCTATTTTTTTAATATCAAGGTTTTAAAACCACAAGAACCTAAAATTGATGTTTGTTGTACTAAACCATTGTTGTCATAGAATACAAAATTTATACTAAAATACTAAATGTGTCTTAGAAAATGTGATGGTTCGCACTTACACCGAAGACGGACCCTCACATAAAATATCTAAATACATTTCTGGTTATGGAATCACGATCGACAATAACGGACATTTGTGGATCCCTGGAAACGGCCTGGGAAAGGTAACTTATAAATATTTAACTACCTATTAACTTATGCTGTTATTATTAATTTTTTTTTATTAGTCTATATTAAATACAAATTAATACAAATTTATATGAACACAACTCTTGATACATGTTTATTTGATAATAATGAAAGGTAAACATTGAATTATTTACAATATGAAATTATTCCAGTCATATGATTAATATTAAAGTAAAAGATAGATTCTTGGAATATATAACAATTCCTCCCTACTTACTTAAAAGATCGTTCATTTATAAGTTCATCCTTTTAATCGGTTTTCTGATTCTCATTGAACGGCGAATGTTAGGGACATCTGGTTGTGAGGTTGCATTTGAACCTTCAGCGTCTTGTTGTATGATTGTACTCCTCTTCGGCATCTTGTTGGCTGCTTGTACGATTGCTTGTACTTGACGCTTCATTGTTAGTTATAGGGCTTTTTGTCTCACTATCAGGCATTGAGTTTGCTGTAGGACTCGATGTTTCAGTGTCCGTAGTTCCTTCCCAGCTTGGGGTGCTACTTGAGACATTTTCTGTATCATGTGACCTTTCTGAATTGCCTTTTGATTTTCTTAACATGCCGTACCTTGTATGTCCCACGAATGAAGGTTGTCTTGAACAATTTTGATTGGTATTTTGGAATATTAAAGTTCGATGAGTTTGCGTAGGTGGTACTTTGGCTATTTGGTCGCATCGGTTGTTTGAACTTTCTTGCCTTGTTTGCTTCAATGAGCTAGGTAGATGGCTTTTGTAATGAGTAGGATCTTTTGGCACTTGACAAGCTCGAAGCTGATTGAAGTGACGTTTTATCACATACCCATCATCAAGTTCCACGAGGTAGTGAAGTTGCCCCAGCCTTTCCACCACAGTTCCAAATTTCCACAGAATGGATCCTACGTAATTTCTTGATTGTACTCTCTCCCCAATATTGAAATGTTTGTTAAATATTGGTTGTTGGGCCTCATTTTTGTCATCTTCACCAGGCCTTAAGAGATCTAGCTTGGTTCTCAAGTTCCTGCCAAACATTAATTGTGCTGGGGATGCACCAGTACTCAGTGGTGTAGCTCGGTACCGAAATAATAGTGCACATAGTTTTTCATGTAAAGTGCCCTGTTCAAACTGCATGCACCTCAGTTTTGTCTTGAGTGTTTGGCAAAATCTTTCCGCCTGACCATTAGTAGAGGGGTTTCCTGGTGCAATGAATCGTTGTCTTATTCCTTGGCGTTTGCAGAATGCTTGAAACTCTGCTGATTTGAAAATTGTAGCATTGTCACTGACCAATATTTCTGGTAGGCCATGGTGACTGAATATTTCTCTCAGGTGATGAATAGTACTGGCAGTTGTTGGCGCACTTTTTATTGGATATATTTCTGGCCACTTTGATCTGGCATCTACAACAATCAAGAAGTTGTGATTTAGAAAAGGTCCTGCATAATCCATGTGGACTCGCTGCCAATTGCGTTTTGGTATTTCCCAAACATGGGTAGGGGCCTTCTCTGGGTTTTTCTTATTCTCACAACATGCCTTACAACTTGCCACCATACTCTCAATATCTGTATCAATGTTTTTCCAGTAACAGTAGTTTCTTGCCAGACTCTTCATCCGCACTATTCCTACGTGTGTTGAGTGTAATTCTTGAAGGATTTTAGGTTGTAGCTTTTTAGGAATGACAACACGATTTCCTCTAAAATTGATTCCGTCTTGCAGTGATATTTCTGGGTCAGCGACTTCTCCGTTTAGGAGCTTTTCCTTTAAACAAGAGAGTTCTTCATCAAGTGACGTTTCTTTTTCTATGTCTTTAGCCATGATAGTATCAGTTGTTATGCAGTGTATTGTTTCTCTTCGAACAGTGTAATCTTCGTCAACCACATTGATATTCTCTTCTTTTATTGGCAAAGGATGTCTTGAGAGGTAATCTGCATTACAGTGGTCGCTTGACTTTTTGTGTACAATCTCATAATCAAATCCTGAAAGAAAATGAGCGTATCTAAGCATCCTGGATGAAGTCAACAGTGGTAGTTTCTTGTCTGGATGAAATATGGTCATTAGTGGTTTGTTGTCAATGGCAAGAGTAAACTTCCTTCCGTATATATAATCAAACATTTTTTTACACCCCCAGTATACAGCAGTTGCTTCTCTGTCCAATTGGCTATAGTTGCGCTCTGCAGCAGTGAGGGATCTGCTGGCAAATACAATAGGCTTCTCTTCATTATTTGGCATTTTATGAGAGAGCACAGCTGATAAGCCAACAGGACTAGCATCTGTGGCAAGTATCACGGGTAAGTCTGGATTGTATGGAGTAAGAACTGTGTCACTTGCTATCTCTTCTTTAACACGAGTAAAAGCTTTTTCACATTCCTGGGACCAATGAAAACGTTTGTCTTTCCTTAGAAGCTGGTGTAAGGGGTTTAGCACTGTAGATGCATCTTTGATGAACTTTGAATAGTACTGTACTAGTCCAAGGAATTGACGCACTCCTGTGATATTTGATGGGCGGGGAGCATCCTGGATTGCCATCACCTTTTCTGGTGATTTCTGGATACCATCTTTGCTGATGATATGACCCAGATACTGCACCTTTCTCTCAAAAAACTTGCATTTTTCAACATTTACATGTAGATTGTGTTCTTCCAATTTTTCTAAGACCTTTATGAGCCTGGATTGGCACCTTGCAGCCTTGTACAACAATATCATCAAAATACGCCACTGTCCCTTCAAGATTTTGTACAACTTGGTCAATAAATTTATGAAATTCATTTGGAGCTGTCTTAATTCCGAAAAACAGTCTTTTGGCTATATATGTACCCTTATGTGTGGTAATTGTTTGGATTTTAGAACTTTCAGAGTCCACTGAAAGATGTAAATACGCCTTGTAAATGTCTAACGTGCAAAAATAGTTTCCATTCCTCATTTTGTTCAGGATGTCCTCTATTCTTGGTATTGGGTAACGACTGTCATGTAGTTGTTGGTTCACAGTTACCTTGTAATCCGCGCAAATACGGACGGATCCATTTGCTTTTGGAATCACAACAATTGGTGTTCCCCACTCAGATTGGTCCACTTTCTCTATTATGTCTTCCTTTTCGAGTTTTTCTAGTTCATTCTCAACAGCTTCTCGAAGGGCATGAGGTACTGGTCTGGGTTTTAAGTACACAGGTCTTGAATTATCTTTTAGTTTTAAAGAGCATGTAAAGGTAAAGTTGGGTGTTTTACCAATACATTGTTCAAAAACGCTTGCGAATCTTTGCTTGATGGATTTGACAACAGTGTTGGTATCAACCTCGGGTTTCTTCATACTAACAAGATTAATATTGTGTAAGTTAATTTTCAATTTTCGAATCCAATCCCTTCCAAGAATAGCGTTTTTAGGTAGATTTACAATGTATAGGTCTTCTCTGCAAGATCTCCCTTCGTAAGATATGCTTAGGGTACAGACCCCGATTGGTTTGAATATTTGTCCAGTATAAGATCGAAAAAGAGAACTTGTTTTGCAAACTGGAACATGTAAGTCTAGTTTCTTGAAGTCATCATTATTTATTATGCTAACGCGGCTTCCAGAATCACACTCAAAACGTTGCTGTTTACCGTTTAGAGATACGTTTATCATCATTCTGTCATCTCCTTCGTCATTCTTCAATACATTTATGATCCGTTGAACGTCGTATTCATATTCAGAATCAATTTCATCAATTCTTTTTACATTTTTCTTTGAATACTGTAATTCCTGTATTCGTTTCATGATACAAACCTTTTCTATGTGTCCATCTTTATGACAATACCTGCAATTTAGCTCATCTATCAATCGGCAATTTTGTGTTTCATGGTTATTCCTTCCACAGTGCAAACAGACATCTGAAAATCCCAGTCTTTGTAGCCTTTTGTTTTTGTTGTCTTTCTTTTTGCTTGAGTCATTATTGAAATAGTTTATGGTTGATAAATTTTTGTTTTTAGGTCCAATTTTGTTCTTTGTTGTTTTACTGATTTTGTGAATGTCATTTTGATTATTATTAGTATATAAAATCTGGTTGTCAAGTTTTGATGCCTCTATAGCCAAGGCGATTTCTAAGGCTTTTTCAAATGATATTTCACCTATTTGTAAGAGTTTTTCTCTTATGTCTGAGTCATATAAACCTCTGATGAATTGAGCCCTGAGCATAAGATTTATTACTGATTTTGTACATTTTCCTTCATTACACCCAGATTTGAAATCTGCTGAACAAGCCAGTTGTTTGAGGTCTGTAACATAATTTGTGATTGATTCATTTCGATCTTGTAAACGTGATAAGAATTTGTGCTGTTCTGTAAGTATGTTCTTCTTTGGGCTTAGGTGCTCATTTAGTAATATCAGTAACTCTTGATATGTTTTTGAGTCTGGTTTGTCTGGAGATGTTAGACTACAGATCAGATTGTAGTGCTTAGCACCTAAGCAATTGATTAAAAATAAACCTTTCAATTGTTCTGTCTCTGAATCATTGTCTGTCAATCCTTTTATTTAAAAAAATATTTCTAAACGCTGAGTGTAGCTTTCAAACGTTTCCTTACTTTCATCATAAGCATCAAACATCAAGGCATTGCTCTGTAGTAGTTCCTTGGTACTATGTTTTGATCTAGGCTGTTCTGTCTGTTGAATTGAATGTTGTGTCATTAATGTCATAAAATTGTTCAAAGTAGATATAAGGTCTTGTATTTCAGTCATTTTCTTCCTCGTCGCCAAATTATTAAATACAAATTAATACAAATTTATATGAACACAACTCTTGATACATGTTTATTTGATAATAATGAAAGGTAAACATTGAATTATTTACAATATGAAATTATTCCAGTCATATGATTAATATTAAAGTAAAAGATAGATTCTTGGAATATATAACAGTCTACATTCTGATTACTGTATTGACATTTTTCAATATGATATTTATCATGTTATGTCAATATAACCGAAGAAAAATGTTTAAAATGTATATTTCGCTATCTAAACCTTAAAATCAATAAATAACACACTCAAACTAATGTAGCTACTTTAGGCACATTATATACATATATATGTATATATATATATATATGTATATATATATATATATATGTATACATATATATGTGTGAGTATATATATATATATATATATATAAAGGCTATACTAGGTAATACAAATTATAGTGAATTGTAACAATAGGAAATTATTTGTTACGAGACCTTGATTTAAGTTATCTTATTTGCTTGCTTACTCACTATTATATAATAACAAATTCATGAACATAATATGGCAAAGTAAATTTAGCAACGTTTGTTATATGTTTGTGCATGGAAAAAGGTATTGTACGATTTTGAAAATTGTACAGGCTGTTAAATCGTAGCTTGTCTTTAAAAGATAATTGGATAACAACTCATTTACCAACATATCAACCTTGATTATTGGATTTAATACTAATTATTTGTTTCAGATTTTTCAAATCGATAGTAAGTTTCCAGGATCATGGAGTAGATTATTAACAATAAAGACAGAGATTGCATTAGCGGATATGTGGCCGACGTCTGTGTGTTTTGGTGGCAAAGACCTCGACATTCTTTTCGTAACAACCACTCATTTTGATTGGACAAAGGATCGCCAAGAGATGTACCCAAAATCTGGAAATACGTTTATGATTACTGGGCTCGGGGTGACAGGAGCGAGACCCAGCAGTCCCGTAAAAATATCAAATGATCTGCTAAAGAAATGCTGCTAGGAGGAAAGGAGTTTAATTGACCATTATATTCCAAAAACTGAATAAAAAAACATACGCAGACACTAATTTGTCAATGACATACCTAAAAATTAATCTGTTTTCTAAGAGTTTGGGTAACCATTATGTAATTATTCTTCAAATTAGCCTTCTTACAAATGTTTTACTCGTTAATCATTAAATCGGATTCCTAGTTTCTGGCATGTTAAACTATACAATTACACAGCTTTTAATTAGAAAAATGTAAGTTTATATGTCCATTGCTGGACGGGTGTAGGTACTTGACCGAGGCTGTAATCCTCTTCAGAATTCTCGATTCCCCACCCCTCCTCCGATGACCACCGAGGGATCAACCCAAACAAAGATCTGGTCCGTTGTCCGTCTCCCATTGCTGGACATTTCCGTCACGTTAATAAGTGATCTCAGTCCAACAAAGATAGAGTTAGATTGATGGCTAAGACGGGATTTTCGTACTCAAGTAAATCAAAAATGCTACAAAAATATAGCAATATGTATACAAATTACCTTTTTTAAAGCGTAATTTAAAAAGTGAGAAGCTCAGTGAACGAGGGGGTTTGAATCTGACCACTGTATTGTTAAAATAAACTTTATCAGCGATATAACCTGTTCGTTTCTCATGTAAAAACTGGTTCAGAGTATTTTACTAAAATGTTAATGTTAATGTATATGAAGAAGGAATTGTATAATATAGACTGAGTGTATAGGCATAGTAACATAAGTTCCTTTGTTAAGCTGTTAATAGGCTATGTATGAACACCAATGGCAGTCAACGCATTATAAATAAATTTCAATTTCAGTAATGCAGTAATCATAATTATACATTGAAAAAAAAAACTTTGATTGCATTCATATTTTTTACCTAATCGAAGGGGCAAATAAAAGTAAATGAATCACCAAGTTGCTGAATTTGTACTAAATTATGTTTAGAAGTAACGCGTTTTAAAAATATACACGTTTTAAGATAGGGTGAAAACACCTCTTCATACCTCAATAAGGGTGTTTCTAAATTCACATTATAAATACTTAGAAATAAGATTAGCTATTTAAGGTAAATAAATACCTAAATTTAGGGCTATATTTTTTGCGACTGTCATGGTTGAATATGATTTCTTCAACCAAGTTACATACTCAAACAAATTGGTATACTCAAACTTACACTTAAAAATTAATAAGTCAAAAATAATGTAAGCCTCGTATTGTTATACGCTAATTTCTTTTTAAAAAACTAAATCATTTACAGAAAAAATATCACAAAATAGTAGAATTTACTTTGTAAAAGTTATCAACATAGTAATGAAGTGAAGGTCAGTAGGTCCCTAATTTGGAGGTCTCGATGATTCTATTAAATCTCGGATCACGTTCACTAAACATTGTGAACCCTGTTTGGCCCAGCTAGCTAAATATTGGACACTTTAAAATGTTAGTTGCATTTTATGTGTCTTTAACGATATCTTGCCTTAAATGCGAGGCCTATTGAAATTCATGTTTTCCTAGATCGTTTTACTGAGTAGGCCGACGGTAAGTTATATTTATTAACTATACCAACTATTACATTTCTCCACTATTGTTATTTATTTGACAATTTATCAGTCTTGTACAACTCCTAGATAATTTATCCTTTACCTACTCTAATATGAGCAATGTTTGCTTGTATGTATGTATGTATGTATGTATGTATGTATGTATGTATGTATGTATGTATGTATGTATGCTTGCTTGCTTGAAAAGAGATCTCGAAAACGGCTCTGACGATTTTCTTCATATCTTGTAAATAGTTTATTTTTGGCCTTAAAACAAGTTTACTGCAGTCACTGCCCAAAAAATCTAATTATGTAGAGACATGAAACTGAAAGTCACATTTTTTCAACATTAGTCTTATGGGTTGCTAAGTAACCATGTTGATTGAATTAAATAAGAAGGAAAAAGTAAACAAAAGACTTGTAAGTTGTAACATGTAAAAAAAGGCATCCACCCACAGTATACTAGCAAATTACAAAATACAGTAGAAAAGGAAAAGCATCACTTGTTACTATTGAGCAAAGATTATACTGAAGCTTACTCGATACATTAATGATTGTAGTAAAGGCTGAATGGTAATGAACAGAAAAGTGCGGAGTGTGGGATCTGTCATGAAGATTAGATTAAGGTAGATTTCCCATCCTTATGGAACAGCTGAAGCCAATTTTATTGTTAGATCTGTCCGGTTTTCTGAAGATGTCGTGCTTTGTTTACAATTTGTTTCTTGTTATTTCAGTAATTTGAAACCTTGTTTAACCAAATAATTCTATCTAATCATAAACAATAACTCGTCCACTAGGTATATAACCAAACAGTGAGACACAAATAATGAGAAAGTAACCCTAAAATAATAGAAACCAATTGTAAACAAAACACGACATCTACAGAAAACCGGACAGAACTAACAACAAAAGTGGCTTCAGCTGTTCCACAAGGATGGGAAGGTATCTGCAATCCTAAAATGCTATGGGAAGGTAAGGAAACAGGTCCGCGACGTAGAAAGTGGTGAAAGAAGTAGTGAAGGCAAACAGTCAGGAGTGTGCGGTCTGTTTATGACCATTACATTAAGGTATTTTCGATCCTAAAATACTATGGGAAGGGAGGGAAACAGGTCCGTGAAGTAGGAAGTGGCGAAGGAAGTAGTAAAGGCGAACAGTCCGGAGCGTGGGAACTGTTTATGAGGATTAGAATAAGGCATCTTTAATCTTAAAATGCAATGGGAAGGGAGGGAAACAGGTCCGAGACGTAGTAAGTGGTGAATAAAGTAGTCAAGGCGAGCAGTCCGGAGTGTGGGAACTGTTTATGATGATTAGATTAAGGTAGTTGCAGTCTTAAAATGCAATGGGAAGGGAAGGAAAAAGGTCCACGATGTAGGAAGAGGTGAAGGAAGTAGTAAAGGTGAGCAATGTGGTGTGTAGGAACTGGAAACCGTTTGTAACAGTTAGATTTATGTATCTGAAATTGAAATATTGAAATGCTATGAGAAGGGACGGAAAAATGTCCATGACATAGGAAATGGTGAAAGAAGTAGTAAATGCTAGCAGTAAGGAGTGTGGGAAATGGTTTGGCAATTAGATTTATGTATTTAAAATACTAAAATGCTATGGAAAGAGATGAAAACAGGTCCACGTCGTAGGAAGTGGCATAGGAAGTAGTAAAGTTTAGCATCGCAAAGTGTGGGAACCGTTTGTGGCAGTTAGATTAATGTATCTGTAATACTTAGATGCTATGAGAAGGGAAGGAAACAGGTCTATGACGTAGGAAATGGTGAAGGAGGTAGTAAAGGCTGGCATCGCAGAGTGGGGGAATGAGTTTATCCGAGCAAAGCTCGGTCTCCAGGTACTAGAGGATAATACGGCAGCGGCCCAAGAATTTGAGGAGAAGGCTTATGAAAAGTAAAGGGAAATGAATATTGCGGTAAAACGGTTAAAGGTACTTTTTTGCAACTACCTGGTCAAACATAAGAACAAGATTATAAAATTATTATTGCCTAAGACATAAGAAAAGTAATATTTTAAAACTAATGTTAATGTTTATTGTTTAATGTGTTTTCAGTAAAATCTATTTTAATATTTTGACAGTTTAATCATGTAGTGCTTCAGAAGCTGGTCATGGCTGGGATAGAATACAAGACTTCTGTCCTATTTGTGGAGATCTGGGCTCAAATACAGCAAATGTAAATAAAATAAGATACCAAAATAGGAATACAAGCTCAAAGGTACTAGAGCTAAATGAAAAACACAAAAATATCGTGGGAACTATCAAACAAAGATTTTCATCCGAGTGTGGGGGAAACCTCTTTGTGGGGCACTACTTTTCAAGACAGAAAAGAAATAATTTGTTAAATGGTCAATTATAAACTATTGCCATGAACCATACTAGAATAAAAGGTACTTCAGTATTAAACGGAGGCCACATTTTGTCAGCGCGCTGTGGCGGTTATGTTAGGTTGGGTTATCATAATAGAAAGTATCGTTCGATTCATAACGAAGCGAGGAAAGTCCTACACACATAATATTTACGATAACCCAACCTAACATAACCGCCGCAGCGCGCTGACAAAATGTGGCCTCCGTTTAATACTGAAGTACCGAATAAAATTAACTTTAACGATAAATAAGTTGTAAATAAAATTTAAATAAGAACATTAGTCGTGAATTTAAATTCAGAAAGATCACAAATTAAGAAGAGAGGGAAATACATGTTCATACTGTACGACTTTTCATTTTGACTGTTCATACTGTAGATTCTATACTGGGGTCCAACGTCATTCTGCAACGTCATTACTCAAACTACGATCTAAATCATAAATGACAAGGTTGGTGATTAAATCTACCCCTGATTACAACCAATCTTCAGCTGTAGGTCTATATTTCTGCAAAAATTCTGCATATTCTTACATTAGAAGTAAGTTTCTGCTTTGAAAAACTCCTTTCATGATATGCTATACGATAGTTTAATTTAGTTTAAGCATATAAACGTCAAGTTGAAACTACTCGTAGCACAATATATGACAACTACTGTTATTAGTAGCATGTAAACTTCATAACACTGTATTGACCAGAGTCAACCCTCCGCTCACTAAGCTTGTTTACCTTTGCTAAATATTACGGGGTTATTTCCTTACTTTTTAGTTACTTTATTAGTTTCCTTGTAGTAGCAAACCTAGTTACTCGTTAAACCTAATGTTATTTAAATAGATTCACTTGACAATCAATTCAGATAAATAGAAATTCACTTAGTCGGCGGGGGTATTTTAGTGGTACTATAAAAAATCTCATAAATTTCTTATAGATATTACAACTAAAAAAACTAGGTAAACAATTTACAAAATGATAAGTTTAAACTATGCAAATACCCAGCTTACAAGTATGGTCCTACAGATGGAGTTATTCAACACTCAACAATCTTACTGAAAACCCACATCCGTTGACTTTGAGCCTCATGACGTCATCATCCGAGTGTCCTTGAGTCACATCGATCCTTTCAAGCTTTTAAGGTAATCCAAATATACTTTTGGTATCCTCCCA